TGATGCACATTTTCTTTGCATAAAACTCTCTCTTATACGTGAGTTACTGTGGATTTGTTTCTCCAAAGTACCTAGACTAATACAGGGTTGAACGACCCTTTCACAGGGGTCGGCAGATTCACAACAATTACAAAATTACAGTTATGAAGTAGCAATAAAAATAATTTAATGGTTGGAGGTCACAACATGTGGAACTGTATTAAACTGCATTAGGACGGTTGAAAACCATTGCTGTAGAGCCAATGTCCTGAAGTTGGACTTCCAGGTCCCTATATTTCTGCTACAGAAGCATTAGAATAACAAAGGGAGATAAACATAAGCCTCTTCATGAGTGATCAATTTGAAATGAAAATAAACACAGGAAAATTAATTAAAATAAAAGTGCAATTCACAAGGATTTAATAAACAACCATCAAAGTCCTTTTTCTCCTTGTTTCTGGGTAGGGCCATAGCTTTCCAGGAATTATGACTTCATTTTTTTTTACATTAGAATATCAGAAAGTAAAAAACAAAGTATATTCACAAGACTGATATTACATTAAGGAGAAAACGTGGAAAAGATTAATGTATATCTTTAATGCAATCCTATATAATACGTAATCTATATACCTGCCAAAGTGGCTTTATTATCTGACAACACAGATAATGTCAGATTTACAAACATCAAATGTCACTTGCCAGCAGAGGGCCAAGGATAGAATTAAGGTTAGTATTGAGAAAAATGACAGGAAAAAAAGAGAGAGAGAGAGAAAGGGTGGAACGACCAGGTAAACAGGAAATCAAGAGAGCTTTAACTTGTAAAGGACAAGGGAAGATTATCTGCATAAGGAAGTGGTAGGTTAATTATCACGCTGTAGAGAAATCAAGTTAAAAGGGGACAGGAAAAATATCTAAAAGCAATTAATAAGTAGTTTATAGGTACCTTTGTGAGACAATTGAGCGGAATGAAAAGTAAAGAAGCCAACTGCAGTAGTTTAAGAGTGAGCAGGAACGGTAGAATGAAAGACAAGGAGAGTAGGCAAGACTTTTAGGAAAGGAGTCTCTGTATCCCTAGAAACTTAGAGAGTCTTAAGGGTTGGTACGCAATCAACAAAGTATACCTAAAATGAGTCCCAAGCTCCCAAGTTCAAAACATCCTTAAAGGAAACAACACAGTATTAGTGTGGAAGACTAAGTAAAGGTTTTAATTGCCTAAGAAGTTAGTGTAAAGAAGAGAATCACTTACCTGATAACAAAGGCTTGATCTGCTTAATTCTGGCAGCCATGGCTGGTGTGATTTTAGATTTGCCCTTAGAGTCTGAAGTAGTAGGCTCATCTGTCTCCATTGGAGCCAATGTGTCACCATCCAAACCAATGCCTTCCAATAAGCCCTGTGTAGAAGCATCCATACTTCCAGCTGTACCTTCTTGTTCCCCTTCTGTACATGAATAGGAAATAAGACTGTAAAGCCAGCACCTTTTGGGCTCCTTGTTCTAAAGAGTCTCATGAAAGATTCTACGACTTCCTAAATCTGGGATAAAAACAAAAATAAATTGACATTGTATCCTCATCTTTGAAGATACTAAATAACCCAGAGGGGATCATTCATGTAGACTACAATGCTGGGTAGTGATCCTGATTCTAGCAACAGAAGATATTCTCCATAATTTCAGAGCTCTTTATCAAATACAAATTGCCCCCATGAGTGTTTTGTAGCATTACAAATCAAGAGCCTTATGTTGCCTGTACAATGAACTATCAAATCCAACCGAGAAGTAGAGGGCCCTTGTGGGGTTGGGGGACAGCGGACTGCTACTTCATAGAGATCAGACTTGGGCTGCCAAGTCTGATTCATGTGATCATCCTGGAATTGAGAGGTTCTGATGCTAATAAAAGCTTTCACACTGTAAATGTGTGACTATAATTGCTAGAAAAATATATCTGGATTGTAAGAGAGTCAATTTGGTATATGTAATTTTATTCTTGATTTTGAGTAAATTATTTAATACTTTAAGTTAAATTTGAGATTCTAATTTTTAGTTTGATGAGTATTTTCTACAGAATTAGACTTGCCTCAATTATCCATCCCTTGGGGTTTTATGTATTTTTGTTATATGAAACCCAGGATTGGAAAATCCATAGACACAGTAACTAGATTAAGTTTCTTAAGGTCATGATGGAGATTTGAGCAAAAAGGGGGAGCTAATAACAATGAATACAAAAATGAAGAAAATGTTATACAATTGGTTATGGTGATGACTACACAACTCCTTTATATACAAATCACTAAATTACACAGTATATGAATTATATGCCAATAAAGCTTTTCTTACAAAAACTGTAGAAAAAAACTTTGTTTTCATTCCATTTTCCATTAACATTAGAAGACCCCTTGTATAAACGTTGTTCCATTTTTCCATAAACAATAAAAGTCAGCAACCAAAACAAAACAAAAACCAGGCAGGATAACCTATAAATCCTTTTATGTCCTCGACCTAGATCAAACAGTTACTAAGATGGCTAACTACACGGTTATTTTTTCAAACCCATCAAACATTCCAGGGGAGAAAAATGACATTCTTGGCTCCTATGAAGACATTTAAAATATTAGAAATCCTGTATAGGATTGTATTGATTGGAATGAACTCAATGGAAATGAGGTTGTCTATGTAATATTTGACCACAGCAATTTTATTTTTATGCTAATCTTTGCTGAAATCCTGTATTGAAAGTCCCTGATACAATTCCATTTTAACATAGATACATATAAATCTCAAAAAAATAGGGACATTTCTGGAAACACAGGGAATCCAGGACAGATGATCCCTTTAGGACCAGTGGTGAGAGTGGCAGTACCAAGAGGGTGGAGGGAAGTTGGGGTAGGAAGGGGGAATCGATTACAAGGATCTACATATAACCTCCTCCCCGAGGGATCGACAACAGAAAAGTGAGTGAAGGGAGACATCGGACAGTGTAAGATATGACAAAATAATAACAAAAATTATCAAGGGTTCATGAGGGAGAAAAATGAGGAGCTGATAACAAGGGCTCAAGTAGAAAGCAAATGCTTTGAGAAGGATGATGGCAATAAATGTACAAATGTGCTTTACACAATGGATGTGTGTATGGATTGTGATAAGGGTTGTATGAGCCCCCAATAAAATGATTTTAAAAAGATAGGGACATTAGTGCCTTTTTCACACACCTACTATAATTAACAATCTTAATTGTCAATTAAAAGGAAGGCAGAAGTAAAAAACCACACATCTCTCATAATAAATAGCTATTTTAAGTGCTTGTTTTTCAGTTCATGAGTTTATTTGTGTTAGGTCATTTGTACCTTTGTCTATCCTTGATAACCTCTACATACAATTTTTAAGCAATTCTGATACATGAGCATAAAAACTTTCTAAGGGGGAGGAAGCACTAGAAATAATTGAGATGTACATACAACTAATTTTAAAAGCAATTTAACTTAGAAATATATGACATGTGAATACTATAGGGCAGTGTTCCTCAACCTTCCTAATGCTGCGGCCCTTTAATACTTCATGTGGTGACCCCTAACCATAAAATTACTTTTGTTGCTACTGTATAACTGTAATTTTGCTACTGTTATCAATCGGGCCACCCCTGTGAAAGGGTCATTCTAGTCCCAAAGGGGTCGCAACCCATAGGTTAAGAACTGCTGCTATAGATTACCAATAAAACCAAAAAAGGGGGAAGAAACGAAACCTGACCAATGGTTACCAGGGGTGAAGGACAAAGAGTTGTTACTTAGGGGGCACTGAGATTGTTAATGGTGGTAAAATAATTTGTAAAAGGTTATCAATAATGGTTGTCCAACACAAAGAGTATCATCAACGGCAATGAAGTAAACATGTAGTTGTTTTATTGAGCATATTTTTGCCACATTAGAAGAAAATAATTAAATGAATAATAATGAGTATTAATTTCTGTTTATTAACATTTGGAACTTCTATTGTAATTTCAGAGCACTGGCAAAATGGACTTGATGGCACTTGAGTTTTTCTTGCTTTGTTTGGCTGCAGAGTGGTAAAATGGGTAACTGAAAAGTCTGCAGTAAAAATTCACCAGTCATTCTAAGGGACAAAGATGTGTTAGTTTGCTTCTGTAAAGATTTGCAAGCTTGGAAACCCTATAAGGCAGTTCTACCCCGTCCTATAGTGTCACCATGAGTGTCACCCACTCACAGGCAACAGGTTCTTTTATCCTATTAAGATTTTTAAAAATCAGCACTACATAATGTGAGCCACATATGGAAGTGTACCTTTTCTAGTAGCCATATTCCGAGGATGTACCAGCCTACTTCAAAAAAGAATGCAGCCATGGAACCCCTGTAGGGCAGTATTATTCTATTCTATACGGTTGCTATGAGTTGGGATCAACTCTATGGCAATGGGTTTGACATAAGTTAGTAGCCACACTACAAAATAAAAAGCAAGTTTTTAACAATGTATTTTATTTAACCTGTATATAATCAAAATGTCATTGTTTTGAAATCCCATCAATGAGTTTTATTCTTTTATTGTCACTGGTCTAAAACTTGCTAATCTTGCATAGCTGAATTCAAACATTAAATTTTCCAAACTTTTATTTAATAAAACCAGTTGAAAATTAATTTGGATATCTATATTGCTCCCAACCTATTTAAAAGCTTTCTAATAATTGATTCAAATTTAAACTGAAGGATAGTTTCTCATTCGTACTAGCCACATTACAAGTGCTCAACAACAGTCATTTGCCAGTTAAACACATTTATCATTTGTAGCCTACAAAATTATGAAAAAACGATGCATATACATACACATATGGACCCTGTAGGACATGGTAGAACTAATGTCTGTTTGGGTAATGTCTCACTGTATATAAGATGGGGGCTTCAAAATGTTCTTGGAAAAAATAAACTACCAAATATTTTATAGTCTCACTGCATCTCTGTGGACCTACAGAGTTCAAAACTTTGACAGCAGAATATGACTTAGAAAAAGTACTTTGTCAAGTATGAAGATCTGATCTGTCTCTCACTAGTTCTCTGGTACTGCAACTGCCCTAACCACTGGGCGAATGGACAAAGGGGAATTTAGGCATCCTTGGTAGTGGTAGAATGAGAAGTAGAAAAGGCAGTTGGGGAAAGGAGCAGAGGCAAAATACAGTTTGATGAGGCTTCGGAGTTTTAAGCTCAGTGGGGGGTCAAGGAAGTAAGGCAGTAAAGTAGAAAAGGAAAGAAGTCAGCAAAACAGGTACAACAGGAGGCAGTGGATGGACAAGTGTACCTATTGCAGACAGGTGGGCACAGCTCAAGAGACTGGGTATACTGATGTAGCAGGACTAGTTATGGTGGCAGAGGTCCTGGGTATCTAGGAACTGCACAGACTCCTGTAACGTTACTCCTATCTACATTACTGTGGTCTCACAATGTACAAAACATTTAAGGTCCTATTTTATAGAACACTTCATGGATTGAAGCCCACTCGTTTATATATATTTTTTCCTAAATAAAAATGACTAGAAGTGGTTTTCATTTTAGAGTAGAGCAATAAAGATATATGAACAAAACTTAGAGAAAAGCATTAGTAAGATTTTCGTTTCGTAAGAGTTACCTGATCTTTTTCCTCCTTGTGTCATACCTGCCTTCTCATCCTTTGGAACCAGTTTCTGCATGTCCGCTTGGCCAAATTCACACCCAGATGGAAGGCTGCAACAGGAGAAGCAGTGGACAAAGAAAATGTTAAGGACTGTATTCATGTGTGCAATTATTAACTGGAATATAATAAAACATCTGCAATAGTTCAATTTATATCTCACTACCTAAAGGAGCACATTTTAAACATCATCCATACTAACACAGCTTGAACTAGGATTTATCAGCCCAAAGATACACAAGATGCTACAATATCTAAGCCAGTCTCCTATGTTGGTAGGTGAGATGCATAAGGTATTTCAAATTCTACACTATACATATCCCTACGCCATGACACCAAAATAATTCTCCAGGCTCACTGAACATCATTTCTTTGGCAGAAAAGGTGAGAAAAAATAATGAGGAGATCCATTCCCTTACCTGTTTGGAGTACAGAGAGAGAGGAGGACAGTACTTTCCCACACAAGGGAACAGTATAACTGGCTCAACTTGCTCAGAACACTTAGACCCAGCTGAGAGCCCCACTGGTTTACTGAGATAGAACGAATTTCACTCTGCAACCAAAATGGAAAGAAGTTAAATTTGGGGCTACTGTCTAAGTAATCATATTCAAAACCTGCTTTCAGCTCTTTTAGAAAGATAATAGGTTCTGTTTTCTCTTGATAATTATTCTTACCAGGTTGTTCCACATTTAAATTTAAAGCCCCTGGAAAGATTCTTAGAATTTGTCTCAAACATAAGTTTTCTGTTGCATTGAATTTACAGAGAAGAATCACAAGCAATTTCTGAAACAAGCAGCTTTGTAGATTCATTAACTAACTGCTTTCAAATTTCCTTTGGGGAGTGTTTATTTTTCTTCCTAATTAAAAGCTTTTAATACTTTGGTCCTTGAATTCAATGTTTACTTCATTTGAAAGTTGATTGTAAGAATGTTTACTTCATTAATAAAGAGAAAATACTGAAGTTGTATATAAAATTGTCTGACTGCTGATTTTATAAAAGTTGTCAGAGAATAGACTCCTGCTCAACAGTATAAAACAGAACTACTAGGTAGTTTTTTGAATAAATAAACAAGATTAAAGGTGGCAAATTTTGAAAACAAGCCTTCTGTCTAGATCTACAAGGATTCAAAAATAATGTTTGACGGTTAGAACACTTTCAAGTAATTTGTTCGGCCTCAAATGTTCTGTAGAAAGATTAGGAAATAATAGGGTAATAAAACCACCCAGTTGTGGTTTGTCAGTCAAAAAAGGGTGCCCTGTATGTATGCTGTAGATCAGTTTGTTAATTATAGTGTCATTTTTCAAGGCTTGTTTCACATAATAAATTAGTCATTCAACAATGAACACATCCATACACATGAAATTATAGAGCTCTGGAGTAACTTGACAACATAAACCTAAATCATCCACCAAAAGGACAGACATGCCAGCTACTTCAATGGCTTTAAACCAATGTATCCTAAAATTATTCTTACCTGTCCAACTCTGCAAGTATGAACAAACATCATGATGTAGGCGTGGGCAGCTGTGAGAGCATGCAATAGGGGTGTAGCCTGAGCTGAGAGGGTAGCATCTGCAACATTACCAGCACATGCCAGTTCTCTCAACAATACTGATCCCCCAGGGGATTCAATTGGGCGGTGTAAGGGCTCCAAGGAGGAGAGGATCGAGTCTAATTGAAGGAGACCTTCCTGAAGGACTTTGGGTTCATGTGATAGTGTCTGAAACAAGAAGAATAACTAAAGCATTTCTGTATAATTAATTTCATACACGTCATGTCTTTGTTCATCACAATGAAAATAGAAGACAAATTTCAAACATGGCCTGGTAAATGGTGGAATCTAAATAACCCAGGTGTGACATATTACTTGTACCTTTCTGGAGTAACATGCTGCTTCAAATGACAAGCTTTCATATTTGGTGAGTTAATTATACTAAAAACTTATCATGGCCAAACTAAAATAATGTTATAGCTATAAATCCATACTGAAAGACTATTTGAGTTTAGAGAAGGACAGATACACAATGTTTAAAAAGTACTTTTATCTTTTTAATTTGGAATCGGGCCCCCAAAAATTGCTCAGTGGGGGAAATTTTCCAAAGCATGCAAGGAATCACTATTGCATTGTTCTTTTCTTCCCTAAAACAGAGAGAAATAATCCAGGATTCAGAAATCAGCTAGTTTTTTAAGCAAGGCAACTGAAAGATCTAGTTACATACATGAAACAACCAAAAGTACCACTGAGAAATTCCAACTCAGTGACCCTATAGAAGAGTCTAACAAACTCCTGCCAAAGTCAATTCAGACTCATAGTAACCCTATAGGATATAGTAGTACTGCCCATGTATCTTTTTGAGGCTATCTTTAAGAGAGCAGAAAGCCAAATCTGTCTCCTGTGGTGTGGCTGGTGATTTTCAACTGCTAACCTTAAGCTTAAACAACTCAACTTTTAACACACTAGGCCACCAGGGTTCCACATAGGAGAACTATGTAAAACTCTAAGGAGGCAGATTGTCATATCCTACTCCCAGAGTACTGGTGGGTTTGATGAACACACCTTTCAGTTCTCAGCAGCAACTGAGCCATATAAACACATTCAGATGATATGGTTTCAAAAAGTTAGTGGGGAAGTATAATTAAAAGGTAATAGAATTTCACTATTAACTTTTTTAATAAACCCCATGTATTTTTTCAAGTTTGAGGGTTAAAAAGATAGATGCTTCCTTTCCCTTCATATCTATAAACAGCAGAATACAATATTATACAGACAAAACCAACAATTTATAAAAATAATCATAATTATGGTTTGTTATGTCTGTAACCAATTGGATTTTTATTTTCCTCAGAAATTACTTATTACACAAAACTAGATTAAGTAGCTTCATTTTGGGCAAGAGTTGGTTTTCCAATGCACCACAGGTTACTTTCTATGCTAAATATATTACTTTCACACTTGAAATAAACCAAAATGTTACGACTATCACAAATACAGGAACAAAAGAACACTTCAACGAAAAATAACAAGCACAGTATACATTAAGCCACAATGTTTGCTCGATATGTATTTCTTTTTTAAAGGAAGGTAATCAATACAATAGTAAAAGCATAATATTGATTTCTTTTGCAATCAATTGCAAAATTTATTTCTAAGAAAAGATTTCACCAGATGCTTCTTACCAATATGGATTTGCAGACACCTGCTACAGCTTGGCAGGCAGCAGATGTGGGAAAGTCAATGGGCAGATTGGGTAGACCCAAAATGGTAACTAAAGGCAAAAGTCCTTTCTGATTCACAAATTCCTGGCAGTGGTCATCTGTTGTATTGTTGCTCAAAATGGATTCCACAAATTTCATCTAAGTAATGAAAATAAGCAAAAGAAAATCAAGGGCATAGTACTTGGCCTAAATAGCCAGCTTTGAGCTAAGAAGTTGTCTTATAGTAATAAATTCAGTTATTTTCTTAAAAACCAGAATCATGACTAAACAGGAATAGAACACAAACCTTAGGGCAGGGGTCCTCAAACTTTTTAAACAGGGGGCCAGTTCACTGTCCCTCAGACCCGATGGAGGGCCGGACTAGTTTTAGAAAAAAACAAAACTATGAACAAATTCCTATGCACACTGCACATATCTTATTTTGAAGTAAAAAACAAAATGGGGCAAAACACCCGGCGGCCTGGATAAATATCATCCACGGGCCGCAGTTTGAGGACCAGTGCCTTAGATCATCCAGGAAACAAAGAATAATTACAAATAACTGCCAAGGTTATTTTCAGCCTAATCAGAAGTCAGGTAATATCAAAGCAGAGCTAATGATTTGCCCAGAACCACAGTAAATGAATTAATGACAAAATTAGAACCAATCTTTTAATCTAATCTTCCTTGCATCATCAACATATTGTCTCTATTAGTAAAATATGGATACATTCTTCTAAATGTGATTATAATACTTTGAACGCTAGAAGAACAATTAAGATCAAATAAAACATTTTGTAATGTAAGAGGGTAAAAAGGTCAGTCAAAAACTATACGTATATACCAGAAGTCCTGGAAATGGGAAAACAAATACTGAATGTGTTTTCATTTACAGGAAAATTATTCTGGTATAATTAAAATTTTTTCAACTTTCTCATGTGACATATAGTTAAACGAACTAGCTAAATTTAATTTCTGAAAATATACAGATGGTAATGAAAAAAATGTGCTGGATACATCTACAGATTATAATCAATTGTTGTTAATACTACATTGAAAAAACAAATTCCAGTGTTCCCCGTTTGGATTAAAATGGTGAACTTCAACAATGAACAAAAACTGGGAATATCCTAAAAGGAAAATAAAGGCTATTTTTAAAAAACATTTATCTTTCTTCCTTGCTCTGCACCTCAAGGACACCCACCCCCCCAAAACGCACACAGAAAATCATGAACACATTCCCCAGAAAAGCTTATGTATTTACTGAGCTTGCTTTTGAGTGAATCTTACCACATTAAGGATGTAATCCATGAGGGGAATAGGAATACGTTCCTCTGTACCAACAACCCTGTTGTGGGAAAAGAAAGTGAATTACAAAGAAATTCCTACAACTGGTGACAAAAGAACTAAATGATTAGAGGAATTCTGGGTCTTTTCCTAAGCTGAAACAGCACTTGTATAGGTTTCAAGATATATTTCACATCAATGTGAAAAATTTTTTAAGTTCTGAAATGGGAAACATTTGCTTAAAAAAGAAGCTACATACAGATTGCAATGAGTGGCACAAAACCAAACACCCCATCCAGGGAGAATAACAACAGAAACCAGAGGGGGAGGGAGACAGCGGTCGGTGTGAGATTTGAAAATAATTAACAATCTACAATCTATCAAAGGGCCACAGAGGTGGGGGCGTGGAGGAGGAGGGAAAAAAGAGGAGCTGATCCCAAGGACTCAATGGAAAGTAAATGTCTAGAAAAGAATGATGGATATATGTACGAATATGTAGGATACAATTGGTGTATGGATTGTAATAAGAGTTGCAAGAGCCCCCAATAAAATGATTATAAAAATAAAAAAGCTACACAATTAAACATCTATCAAGACTGAATATCAAGTTTAACATTAATGAAATAAAAAATGGCATTTGTTAAAAAAAAAATCCACGGTCAAATTGGCAAATCATTCAGAAAAGCCTATGTTCTTGGTAAAAAAAACCACTCCTTCACTAACAACTTGTCTAATTGTAACTTGTAACATGAAAGTTCATAAACTTCAGTATTTTGGAAAAAGTCCTTTGTAAGAAATTTGTACAAAACATGGGGGGCGGGGGGTGGGGGGTGGGGAAACAACACAAAGAGTGAAAGAAATACAGGGCAAGAATCAAAGTTATTATTTCTGAGAATGACAAAGATTTCCCAGGTCAGAAATACGGCTTTACCATACTAAATTAATCTGTATTCTGAGCCCATAACCTAAGAAACTAGACGGTGTGAATAACTTGTTATCAGGATTCTAGGAAGGATTATTAACAACCTTTGATATGCAAATGACACTACAGTACTAGCAGAAAGTCATGAAGACCTGAAGTACATACTGATGAAGATCAAAGACTACAGCCTTCAGTATGAATTACAGGTCAGTATTCAAAAATAAACAAAAATAAGCCAAATCCTCACAAACTAGCCAGTAAGAAATGTTATGATAAAACACGTTAAGATTGTAGTAGTCACAGATTCCATTTTATTTGGATTTAAAAATCAACCTTCAAGCCAACAGCAGGAACTTCTTTAACATGGGTCATATGAGGAGACGAGCCAGACAGGGTGCGATGTAGCAGCTTTCCTCTAGTTCCTAAATGCTTCCTCCCTCCCCCTCCTATCATGATCTGAATTCTACCTAGCAAGTCTGGCTAGACCAGAGGATGTACACTAGTACAGATAGGAAATGGAAACGGGATAAAGGGCAGATGATCCCTTCAGGACCAGTGGTGTTAGTGGCGATACTGGGAGGGTAGAGGGGGAATGGGTTGGAAAGAGGGAACCAATTATAAGGATCTATATGTGATCTCTTCCTTGGGGGACGGACAACAGAAAAGTGGGTGAAGGGAGACGTCGGACAGGGCAGGATATGACAAAATAAACAATTTATAAATTAACAAGGGAGGGGGGAAAATGAGGACCTGATGATGGGGGCTTAAGTGGAGAGCAAATGTTTTGAAAATGATGAGGGCAATGAATGTACAAATGTGCTTTACACAATTGATGTATGTATGGCTTGTGCTAGGAGTCGTATGAGCCCCTAATAAAACGATTAAAAACAAAGAAATCAAATGAGGGGGAAGGAGGGGGGAATGAGGAGCTGATAACAAGGGCTTAAATAGAAACTAAATGTTTATAAAATAGTGATGGCAACATATGTACAAATATGTTTGATACAATTGATGTATGGGTTGTTATATAAGAGCTTTAAGAGCCCCCCCCCAATAACTTTAAGAGCCTCCCAATAAAATGATTGTTAAAAAAATCTATTTTTAATTGCTAAAAATGTAAAATGTTACTTTGAGGACTAAGATGCGCCTGACCCAATCGTCTTATATGTATGCAAAAGGTGGATAGACTGGACAATGAATAAGCTAGGAGAAAAACGTTCATTTCATTTATGGTGCTTCTAAAGAAGATTGAATTATCGGAACTGTTAGGAAAACAATCAAATCTGTTTGGTTAGAAGCACATCAGGGGAAAAAAATAAGCACAGCATGATTAGTTCTTAGTAGAAATGATGATGCGTTGACAGGAGGGATCAATTCCAAGGAAAGGGCATCATCCTAGGTAGAGAATCATTGAAAAAAGGGTAGACCTTGCAATAAAGGACTAATACGGATAATGATTTTTGAGGCTGATGCAGGACTAGTGTTTCATTCTGTTGTACATTAAAAAAACAAAAAAAAACCCCTCACTGCCATTGAGTTGACTTTGGTTCATAGTGACCCTATGGCATTTCCAAAGCTGTAAATCTTTGGGAGCAGACAGCCTGATCTTTCTCCCAGCACTGCTGGTAGGTCTGAACCAATAACCTTCAAGTAACAAGCCCACTAACTGTCTGACAATGCCACCATGTTCACTGCATACTTGGTAGGTATTAGCTGAAACCAACTCCATGACAGCTAACAAAAAAGGTAGCATCAATATCACAAGCAAGTAAAATTTTGCTAAGTAAAGCCACAAAAAAAAAGAAAAAAAAAAGGCTGAAGTCTATTGATAGGGGACTTGCCAGAAACTCAAGCCTAATCAGAAGAGAACCTGTAAAAATGGATGTCACTGTCAATGTCAGGTGAATATTGGCTGAAAGCACATACTATGAGAAAAATGCTACTTGTATACTAAAAGAGGACTAGAAGCACTAATTGATGAAGATCTAAGACCACAACATAAAAGGGCAAAGATTTTGTCCCTTGACCCAAGCTATGGTATTTTTAATAACCATATACACAAACAAAAGCTGTTACTGTTGAGTGCACTCCAATCAGTTCCAACTAATAGTGATAATGTACAACACAATGAAACACTATCCAGTACTGTGTCACCCTCATAGTGATTCTTACGTTAAGATTCCAAGGATGCAGCGACATGTCAATCCATCTTTAGAAAGTTCTTCCTATTTTTGCCGCCCTGTAACTTTACCAAGCATGAAGTCCTTTTCCAGGGAGTGATCCCTCTGCACACCATATCTCAATGTCCAACTTTCATATGCACGAGGCAACCACCTTGGTTTGGATCAGGTGCACCTTAGTCCTCAAAATTAACTACTTTGCTTTTCAACACATAAAAGAGGTCTGGAGCAGCAGAGTAATCCATTGCAATGCATCATCTAATTCCTAACTGCTGCTTCAATGAGCATCCTTGACAACTTCAAACTTTTGTACAGTTGTGAAAATTTGGGTCTTCTTTACAAATTGAAGGCTGCAACCCTTTCAAATTCTCTTAACTTTCAGCAAGGAAAGGAGTGTTGCTTATCAGATTGTTAATAAGCCTTCCTTCTAATACTAATAAGGCAATCTTCATACAATTCAGTTTCTCTGATCATTTGTTCAGCATACAGATTGCATAATTACGGTGAGAGGATACAACATAATGTACACCTTTCCTAATTTTAAACCACCTCTTGGTCCACACACAGGTTGTGCATGAGCACAACATAAGTGCTCTGGCATTCCCATTCATCTCGAGATTATCCAGTTTGTTATGATCCAAACATTGAATGCCTTAGCATCGCCAATAAAACACAAGTAAACATATTTCTGGTATTGTCGGCTTTGAGTCATCTGGTTTGAGGCCTTGCTCCTCTTCCATAGCTGGCCTGGGCGTCTTGCAGCTGTCAATACACTGCTATAACAATTGATGGATAGCTGGATGATCTTCAGCAAAATTGTACTTACATGTGCTATAAATGATATTGGGTAACATTGATATGAAATAGGTACAAACGTAGATGTTTCGGTCATTGGCCGAGTAGGTGTCTTACAAATTTCCTGGCATAGATGAGTGATTGCTTCCAGTGCTCCACCAGCATGTTGAAACATTTCAATTGTTATTCCATCAATTCCTGGAGCTTTATTTTTGGCTAACACTTGCGGTTTGGCTTGAAATTATTCTTTCAGCACCATTCGTTCTTGCTCATATGCTACCTCTTGAAATGGTTGAATGTTGACTAGCTATTTGGTAGATGGACCTTGTGTATTCTTTCCCATTTTGTTTAGATGATGCCTACATTGTTCAAGATTTTTGCCCAAAGAATCCTTCAATATTGCAATTTGAAGCTTGAATTTTTTAGTTTTTTTTTTTTCAGTTTAAGATATGCTGTGTTTTCCTTTTTGGCTTTCTAACTCTAGGTCTTTACACACATTTTATTTCACGTACTCTTCTCAAGCTGTCTTCTGAAACATTCCACACCGTTTATTTTATGTGCTTTAGCATCTCTACCATTAAGAGCAAGTTTCAGAGTCTCATGTGACATGCACAATGATCTTTCTCTCTTTACTGAATTTTTAAATGACCTTTTGCTTCTTTTATGATGTTTTCCCCACAGCTCATCAGGTCTACTAATATTAGGTGTTCTATGTTTCAAATCTGTCTTTGGGGTCTTCTTGAAAGTTAGGCCTGTTTTGGATCTTGTGGACTTTCTTTTTTTTTAAGTTTCCTTCAGTGTCAACCTGAATAATTGCTTGATCAATTTCAGGCAGAGGCTATTGGTAGACTTCAACATCCTCATCACCAGCTATTGTGATTGGTGCATAAAATTTAATAGTAGTAGTCGTGATTTTGAACAGGCATAGATATATTTCAATCAGACATTCTTGTACTTTGAGAAAGATTTTGAAATGTCCTTTTTGACAATGCATGCAGTGTCGGTGTTTCATTCCAACTAAACTATAATTTTCTAATTGAAAATGGCTATTATCAGTCTCTTTATGCTCACTTAACAGCTAGAATGTCGACTTTTGTGTATTCTATTTCACCTTTTAAAACTTTGTACATTTAACGTTCCAATTACTAATTGATGTTTGCAGCCGATTTGCCTCATTTTGGGTCATGCCCCATCAGCAAATGAAGGCCCCCGAAGTGTTAATCCATCCCGGTTATTATAGTCAACTCCATTTTGAGAAGGCAATTCTTCCTCATTTATACTTTCAGTGCTTCCACAATCATATTTTGAGTACCCTCAAAACTAAGGGGGCTTATCTCTGACACGCTCATCATCATTGTTCTACTTTTCATGAGGTTTTCAGTATCTATTCGTTCAGGTTTTCAGTGGCCAATTCCTCCGAAGTAGACAACCTATTCCTTTTAAATAGTTATTCTTAGTTTGGAAGCTTTGATCAAACCTGGACAATGGGAGCTGAACAATGAATAAGACAGAAAAAGAAAGAATGACTTTGAATAATAATGTTAGTGAAAAATACTGAATTAACCATGAACGGCCAGAAGAAACACATCTTGGAAAAAGGATAGCTAGCTAAGGAAGCTACTTAGAAGGGAGTACATCAAGACTTTGTTTCATGTAATTTGGAAATCTTATCAGGAGAGACAAATCTCTGGAAAAGGCACCATAGTAAAGTAAAAGGCCAGTAAAAAGGAGGAAGATAACCTCAGTGAGATAGACACAATGACTGCAACAATGGGATCCAAAACAGCAACAATTATGAACAACCTATTTTGAGGTTATCAGCCTAACAGTTAACCTACAGCTCTGCCAGGACATCTGTAAGTGGGATAACAGACTATTTGTCCTTCTGGGTCTGAGTTATTATACTCAGCATGTTTATCCATGTTTCAGCATACCTAAGAACTTCATTTCTCCCTATGGCTTAATAATATTCCATTGTGTGGACACAGAATATTGAGTATGGAATTTGGCTAGGTATAGAATTGCTAAGTCATATGCTGATTCTAAGTGTAACTTTTGGAGGAACTGCCAAACCGTCTTCCATAGTACTGCACTAATGAACCGATTTTAAGGAAAATGCTTTTTTAAGTACCAAAGCATACACACAGTTGTCAGAAAGACTAAATTTCTCAAATGAGGAAAAAAACCATTAAAATAATCCATTTATAAAAACTTTTACAAGTCAAAGTGAAAGTAAGATACCGGGGAAACGTGCCCTGACCATATCACAAGGCTAAAGAACAACCTGTCTTGAACACTCACTGCTGATTAGGCTCAGTTTCATTCTGCTGGTTAGAATTAAAGCTCTGCATGGCCTGAACTTCCTCTTCTTCCTCATCCTCACTAGATGCTTCTTCTGCAGCATGATTAGACCTCGGAGGAGGAGCAGTGGCAGTTCCATCTGCTTTCTGAATTGATGGCTTCTGACAGATGTATTTAGGGTCTCTTCCAAGATTACAGATTTCTTCAAGTAACTAAAAGGTATAGGAAATAAGATTAGCAATCAAGAACGGCTTCCCCTGAGAATTTGCTATTTGTTGTAAATTTGCTAAGTTAAATATACATGTTTTAATTTGCAAAGAACCAGTAACTCATACTAGACTCAACAATGCTAAAAGGTACCTGTCAGTATCAGTAAATGTGAAAGAAAAAGATAAATTAGGAAACAAAGATCAGAATGGTAATATGGATTTAAACATAAAAGTTAAGCTTCATGTACCTTTTAACATATAAAAAAGCAATACATCAAATATGTTTAGATTAAATACAGGAACTATTTTTACAGGAAAAAGAGTAAAAGAAGACTTATATTCCTAAAGGAACCCAAGTGTCTTTCAGAGACTTGTACCAACATGACTTGATTTTTTATTTAAAGATGATGAACTCCAAGACAAGGACAAGAAATGAAGCAGACCCAATGATTGCATATGTAAGCAGAATCTTAAAATTCAAACCGTTTGTTAAAGATTTCCTTTACACTGCTTTCTAATGCATAGTCACAGCCTTATTATTGACTCACCTTGATGATTGCAGTAGTTGCATCTGTTTTGAGAGTAGGCTGATGTCTCATGAGCTCATCAACAGCACTCCCCAAGTTTGATGCTGTATCCCCTAAAGAAAAAAAAATTAACTTTTAGGAAAAAAAATAAATAGAATTGAGCCCTTATATGTGCTGATAGAAGTTAGAAACAGAGTGGGATGCTATGATTTTCTATTGAAAAGTTATCTTGAGTAATTCACCATGATAAGCTACTCTTGAAAAATCATTGGTGACGCTGGGGGAGGGTATAAGGAGCATTATTTAAAAATAGCCTCTTTTGCATTGCATTACATCCAGAAAATTTCTGTTGTCAAGGTGACCTAGTATTACAGAGTAAATGTACTTGGATCAGCTCAGTAGACATGATATGTAAAAAAAAGGTGGGAGGGTGTTTACAAAGGTGCAAGTATTAATCATCAATTTTCTAGCTGCCTGGGTAAAAAATGACAGTGCTAGCATGACATATTCGTGACCTGGAAGTACTACATTTTTGAAACATGAAAACTATACAGAACCTTATCTTCTAATAAACCAAAAAAATTAAAACAAACTTGGTACCATCAATTCATTGCTGACTCAGCAACCCTATAGGACAGAGTAGGTCCACATTTTTCATGATTTGTCATGAAATATCTTCTTATGCGAGTGAACCAATTATTATAAAGTAAATCAAATATTAAAAATTATAAAATATATAAATCCTGATGATTTACCAAGGGGATCAGAACTCCTCCTCCTGCGCATGGCTGGGAGGTAATCTGGAGACAGAAGAACTTTGAAGAGACGTTCAAAAGGCTGACATTGCACAAAGGATTGAAGACCTCGTGCATTTAAGCAGAGTGCACTGAATACATTTGGAAGGGAACCAAGGACTTCACGCGTAGCCGGAACCTAGAGACAAAATAAAGTCAATTTTAAGGTATTTAAAAGAATTCAGATGTACCACGCTAATGGAAACTTCGTTACACAGACAAACAGAAGATTTGAATTATATCTCCCAAAATCTAATTTCTTCAAAACTGTATACTAAAGACAGGACTTTCCAGCATAAGACTCCTTCCTCTACAGTTTGTCTGTTTGGGAATGTAGTCACACAGAGGATTCTTTACAGATAGCAAAAAGAACTCACATCTTTAATGAGCAGTGCATTCAACATGACATCTGTTAATCCATTGTCTTGGAGTGAAGAGAGCAGTGATGGTTCTTGAAACACAAAAACAGTTACCACTTCAGTAGCTAGAAAAGAAAAAAAAAAGAAATATAAGACACTGAGAAATTCCTGAAAGCGTTAAAAGCAATTCCCAACAGACTTAAAAAAATAAAAACAGCAACAACAAAAAATACTCAATCTACAAAAATCAATATACTTGTGCTTATTATGAAAATTGGTAATTTCCCTCCAGAGATTATTTACAATAAAGACTATTCATATTTTAATGAGCATATTTCTATATAAATGGTTATATTGTAATTTATGGTCGTATTATGTAATTTACTACCAATAAAATTTTAATAACTGCACAGTATTTCAGTATATATTACTACACTATACATACATACATGTGTATACTATATCTATACTACTTGGACCTTCGTAGTTACAGCTTATAAAGCCAACCAAAAAGTTGGTGGTCTGAAGCTATCAGCTTCTGTCGAAACACTGACCACACTGACTACTGACTGTTTTTCTTTTAAAGTTCAGGAACACGTCAAAGAGGCATACTCTCACACTATATCTATTCAGCAATGTACTAGAAAATATTGGATTCTAAAGATTTAAGGAAAGAAAACCGCATTTGCAAATTATAAGGCTGTGTAGAATATCCAAAAGAATTAACAAAACCGTAAACAAACGCGAATTTAGCAAGGGCACAATAACCCTTTCAGTAACGGATTATGGGTAAGTGCGAATATATAACTTGTAGTAATCAAAACTATTCCAGTTAAAAACTGCCAGTACAAGTTCCCCCTATTTCCATACCCAAAAACTCAGCCACTGAGTATAACACAGCAATCCTTATAGGACAGAATAGTATTGTTCCCTAGAATTTCCAAGGTTTTAAATGTTTATAAAAAGCAGGCTGCACCAACTTTCTTCTACCAAGTGACTGGAGAATTGAATCCACCAATTTTTCAGTTAGAAGTCCGTGTTTAACCTACTGTGCCACCAAGAACCTTCACTTATTTCTATACATACCTCCCACTAGATTTCTACAAAGAATTTGAATGATTCTAGAAGTTTAAGTACCTAGGCCATTTCCCACAAATATCTATGGCACTCAACAAATACTTCTATTTTCTATAGTTCAACAGTTTTCTATACTACATTTTGTAGTTATGACATTCAGTCAGTCATGAGAAAGGGAACACTCTGACGGAATAGCTCAGAACATGTTAACAATGGAACCGCAAATAAAAATAGGTTTCTTATTAAACAGCACAAGTATAAAAATTTATCTTTTCTTATTAATTAGGATTAACACATCAAAGCATTCCATAGTTCAATTATGTCCAGCAGAATTGTACATTTGCTACCACAACCAGTTTCCAAACATTCTTTTTCTATCTGGTCCCCTTGACGTCATCACACTTTTATCCCATCACCATCATTATCTTTTAATTCCATTTTTACTTTTTCTTATTTTCATTTTTCCTTGAACGTTTTGAAGTCCTGTTACAAGGACTTCTATTACAAGGCAATGCTTATACAAAGAGTAATTGATATTCCAGAAATGGATATTTGAAACCAAACTGACCTTTCCCTATTACCAGTAAGGAACATACATGAATTACACAATAGACAACATGAAAATGAAAATTCTCCAGCGATATAAAGCATACAGTAATCCCTGCCAGGTTGTTTCAGCTGGATATAAACAAGTATCACATCCACTTACCTAAAAGGAAAAGTGATGGGCCGTAGTATTCTGCATTGCTAATGATGTGTTTCAGGGAGGTAGGCAAAGAACCATCCATCACTAAGAAAAATCAAGAATATGATCAGAGACGACCATGAGGTAAAGCTACATATACTACACATTAGTAAAGTCTATTTTTATTCCAAAATAATAGTCCCTTTTTTCACATCCTCTTGTATTATTTATGTCTCATGGAGTAAGCTTTCTAACAGTAGGTTAAAAACACAGAAGACAAAGAGATTGCATGTATTAGAAAGATGGAAGTGATCACATCTACAAACTGGAAAGGGAATAAAGTCAAACCACAAAGTTAATCAGCCCTAACACCTACAAAATGATACTAAACAAATAGGAGCTATTCAAAATGGGCATGTTGTATGTGCCTTATTAAAAAAAACTTGAGGGGGTGGGGTGGTCTTCACAGAAGTATGACCATGAGCTTGATCTTGTCAAAAGGATTAAAAAACAAAGAGTTTCCAGAGTCCAATACCATGACGTATGCCATCTGAAAAAGCTGGGTCTTGAATGGCCTTCTTAAGGAAATTCAACATGGACTTGAGAAGTGCTGCTCGTTGTGGAATACACTGGACTCCTAGTAATAAAAGAAAAATAAGAGAATCACATTGCATTTAATACTTAACACCACCATGAACTGAGCACATTTTTTAAGGCAAGTATAAGGAAGTATTGATACTCAGGTTATCAGAATATATTATGCAATTTATCCCCAAATATGTCTGCAATCACTGGAGGGCTACAGACCCTTTCTCTCAACAATACACTTCTTTTAGTCTCAGAAAAAATAAAAGGGAGGGCTGGGGGGGGGGTTTCCAATAAAAAATTGGCATCTGATGGAGATCTGCTTGGACAATTCAATTCAAGGGAGATAGTATGTTTTGGGGACTATTTTGGGGGATTCCTAAGGATAGAATTTATAGGATCACAAAATGAGTACCTTGATGCTGAAATTGACATTTTCACATAGTAATTAACCTAAGAGTACAAGTAGGATTACCAGAGGGAAAGAAACAGTGAATGATCTATTCAGAATAACTTTGTATATCGATATTTTGGTTTAATAAAGTATTCTATAACTCAGTAGCAATGTTTTGCTTGCCCCTATGCTCTGAAAAATTAACAGACATTCTAATGGAGGGCTATGTATACTGGAATGAATACACGACTAAGTTGTGAATTTGGAAAAAATAAGCCAGAATGGATTATATATATAATTAAAGTTAATATTGAAAAAAAAAAAGGAAATATGCAAATTACTTGAAAAAGATAGAATGTTAAAAAGAGAAAACTGAACACTACAATGAAATAATATTCATAAGTAACAGAAAGCTAACTCCTACATGTACCACTTACACTTACCGTTCACCCAAAGCTCTTTTCATCACAACTATAAAGACTCAATGGGAAAAAAAAGACGTTTTCAACATGTATACATACCTGGACGGGGGCCAGGGCCAGAGACAATGTGAGTGATACTGCTGGAACTACATGCCCTTAATTCAACATCCAAACGGTTCTCCAGAGAAATAGATGCGCTTGGACTGCTTTCCATAGTTACATCTGCAACTGAAGTACAAAATATAAAAAAGTAAGTAGTGAGAAAAAAAGGTACGCAGAAAAAACCCCAAGGTTTTTGCTTGGAGAAATTGTTTCCATTAAGGTGATTGAATGGCATAAAAATGGAGGAAAATTGTATGTTTCATCGTTGCTACCCTGCACCCTGACTGGCTCGTCTCCTTCCTGCAACCCTTCAGTAAGGGGGTGTTCAGTTGCCTACAAATGGGCTTTGGGTCTCCACTCTGCACTCACCCTCATTTACAATGATTTTTTGTTCTTTGATGCCTGATCCCTTAGACACCTCATGGTCACACAGGCTGGTGTGCTTCTTCCATGTGGGCTCTGTTGCTTCTGAGTTACATGGCCACTTGTTTATCTCCCCC